TTTTGAGACAGGATCTTGCTAAGTGCTAAACTTCCCAGGCTGGGCTTGAACTTGCAACCCTTTTGCCTCAGCTTCCCAGAGTGCTGGGATTATAGGTATTACCACCACACCCATTAAGGCTAAGACCTTGACCGTTATTTACCACATTAGTTACTTTTTCTCATCACTGCGACAAAATATCCAACACCCAAATGAAGGAAGGAAAGGTTTATTTAGCTCACTGTTGTGGAGGTTTCAGTCCATAATCAGCTGGCTCCCAAGGCAGGCTGGCAAGGAACTGGAGTAACACTTCAAGACAGCAGCCAGAGCAAAAGGGAAAGAAACAAGCCTCCTCTCCTGGCTCATATTGTACACAGAATAAACCTGCCCCTGTGGCAGGTATAGCGCTCACAAAATCTCCTTGTCCTCCTTTGCACAGGATGAGGATATTTACAAAGTAAGAACCCTGGCTCCCTGCTGAATCTCTCAGTTAAACTTCTAAACTTCTCAAGTTGATACAATATATCAACCATAACATGCCACTTGGCCCATATCTGTGTCATTTCCTTCTCTCCTGTCATGCCAGGTAGCCACTGTCCTGAACCCTCACTCCATTGTTTTTCTTTTTTTACATAGTATTATTATATCTATAACAATTAATAAACATTCATATTTTTATTAGTTATTTTAATTTAATAAAAAGCATTATGTGACATGCAATGATTTTTTACACATTGTAGTTGTTAAAAGACTTGTATATTATTACATGTCATCATAGTTTATTCAAGCTCCTGTGTATTCCATGTATTTATAGATCTAGTTCAGCTAGTCTTAGACTGATGGGCATTTAGGATTTATCCTCTAGATTTTTTTATTGTAAATGATGCTTCCATGAAGATTGTGGTGGTTTATATCCCTCATGGTGTATCTTGGTTTCTATTCTCATTGCTAAGATGAAATATCTGATATACAAGGTTAAAGAAGGAAAGGTTTATTTAGCTCACATTTTGTAGAGGTTTCAGACCATAATCATCTGGTTCCAATGTAGGGTGGCATCATACAGGAGAAATAGTTCATGGTAGGCAGAAGGCATCAAAGCAACAAGGGACCACCACAGCTCTTTGTATCCTTTATATCTTCTCCAGGAAGGGTGGGTAGAAATCACACCCTTCATCCTCGTGCCCTTGATCCTAGCATTGTACCACTAGTTGATTTAGTGTCACAGATTCTAGATTCAGCCATCTCTGAAACAGTCCCACCTATCAACACACTAGGCTTTCAGAGGACATGTCGACACAAGCCATAACATTACCCCCCTGGCCCCTCAAAGGCTCATGCACATCCCTTGTGCAAAAGGGATTTAGCTCATCTCTAAGAATTGCTGAAGTACTAACAGTTTCAGCTTTGCTGCAAAGTCCAAGTCCAAAGACTCCTCTGGCCAGTTTGGACTACATAGTGAACGCAACGCCAGACTGAACTGCGTAGTGAGACTCTGTCTTAACAAAACAAAACAAAATGAAACAAAACAAAAACCACCAAAGTCTCCTCTGAGATTTAAGGCAAACTCTTAGCTATACGCCCTTGTATAAACAAAAAGAAAGTTAAACACTTCTAACATTCAATACCACAAAATAGAAATTTCCATTCCAAAAGTTACAAACAGGGGGATAGCAATAAATGGAAACAATGCAAGTCCAAGATCCAGCAGGGCAAATATTAAATCCCACAGTTCTACTTTCAACATCCTCAGCAATTATGCTAAGTTGTGAACTGCAAAGGGCTTGGGTGCTTCCCCTAGGATGACACTGTGTGTAGGTATAGCTCCCATGGCTTCTCTCTTTGGTTGACTTTCCTCACTCTTGGCAGTTTTCCATGGATGATCCACCTTCCCAGCTTCTCCAACTTTCTGAGGTCTCCACTGAACCTTTGGCTTCACACTCACAGCTTCACACACTGCCCTCTCAGAGGCACATTGCCTGACCTCCCAAGTCTTCTTCTGAAATCTGGATGGAAGACTTCCTGGTCCTACAACTCTTCCATTCTGCATGCATCTAAAACCAGCATCATGTGAATGACACCAATGTCTGCTGCCAGTTGCAGCAGTAGCTAGGCTTCCTTCTCTCTTGGCTGTAGGGGGTCCAGTGCCTATGAACCAAAACCCAAGGCTGCTGCCATTCTGGAACATAGTTCTCTAGGGTTTGCCTCTCAAAACAAAGTCTTTCACTTTTGCAATTTTGAGGCTGAAAAGGGTGCCGTGTTGTGATGCCTCAGGCCATCTTTTCTATTTTCTCATTCTTTCTCAGCAATCAGGACCTCCTCTGCTTTATCTTTGCAGCTCACAGCTTTACTGGAACCTCCTCTCTGGCCAAATGCAAAATGTTTTAAAGCATCTGCTGGGCTCTATGCTCTTAATTCTCAATATAAATCTGACTAAAAGCTGCCAACAGTAGCCATGTCATTGCCTAAATATTAAGCTGCCTTGAAATTTCTTCTTCAAGATTAGTTAGTCCACAGCTCTTAATCTCAGTCTCAGGCAAAGTCTCTGGGCCCGAGTAAAATGCAGACAAACTTTTTGCCAAGCTGTAACTCACAAGTCCTGACATTCAATACCGAATGTAATCGTTTCTCCTAGGACTTCCAGAACCTAGTCATTACTGGAAGCATTTCTATCAGTCTTCTAACCTGTGTTCTAGCCAGAATCTTCCATCAAGTGTAGTCTCAGGTTTTTTCAGCCAGCACTTCCAAATCTTTCCTAACTTCCCCTTCTCACAAGCCAGCTCCAAAGGCTCCTAAACCACATGGTCAGGCACAGTCACAGCAGCAACCCTCCTGGTACAAAATTCTGTCTTATTTACTTTTCTCATGGCTGAGACAAAGTACTTGATATCCAAAGTTAAAAGAGGAAAGGTTTAGCTGTGTGTGTTGGTACATATCTATAACCCCAGCACTCAGAAGGCTGAGGCAGGAGGATTGCCAAGAATTCAAGGCCAGCTTGGGATACATAGTAAGTTCAAGACCAACTTGAATTACACAGCAAGACCCTAAATCAAAAAACAAACTACCCCCTCAAAAAGAAAGGATTATTTAGCTCACAGTTTGTAGAGGTTTTGACAGTTGGCTCCAACAGAGAAACAGTTCGTGATGGACAGAAGCTATCAAAGCAAAAAGGGACCACTGCTGCTCTTTCTATCCCTTATATTTTCTCCAGGCTACTCACCCATACCCTTAACCCCATGTCCTTGGTCCTACCATTGTCCCATGAATTTATTTCAACATCACACATTCTAGATCAGCCACCTCTGAAAAAGCCCCACCTGTGACCTGATTATGTTTTGGAGAATTATCTAGACATAAGCCATGACATGATATATATGCAAGCGTTTCTCCTGGAAAAATAAATACATATGATAATGAAATTTCTGCCTTTTAAGGCATGTAGATGTTAAAATTTGCTTTCCAAACTGGTTGTCAATTTTTACTGTCACCAGAAATTTTGAAAAGATTCTGTGGACCCACACTGTTTTCAACATTTAGAAATATCAAACTTTTAAAATTTTGCTAATCTAATAGGTACCAAAAGTTATCTAAATATGCTCTTAATTTCCATCTCCCTGATCATTAATGATGTTGAATATCTCTTCATATTTTTATTGATTTCAAATTTATCCTAGTCTGTGAAATGCTTTGTGTCATCTGCGTATCTTTTTTTATCATGCTTTTCTTATTAGTTTGCAGTGGTTTTGAAGTTTTTTAAAATTCTTAATACTAATCTTTTGCTGGCTGTGTGTTTTAAAGATCTTTTCTCAGTCTATAAACTGTCTTTTTCACTTTCTTTAATGTGCCTTTTGATGTCTAAAATTCTTAATATTAATATAGCCAAATTTATCAGCTTTTCTTTTGCAGTAAATACTCTTTGTGACTTATTTAAAATATTTTCCCTTTCAAATCTAAAATATAAAAATCTATATTTTCTATTGAGTTTTAAAGTTATGGTAATTTTTGTGCTTCAATATTTAAACCTCTGGGGTTGATGTTTTGTACTTCTTACATATAATTTTTCCAGTTCCACTTATGATGCAGTTTTTATTCCCCTATTGGTGTGATATGCTACTTATGTCATATACTGAGGTTCCATATTTACATGAGTCTATTTCTTTTCTTTCTTTCTTTTTTTTTTTATCGGTACCGGGGATCAAACTCACGACCACTTGCTTGCAAGGCAGGTGCTTATGCCAATGAGCTAAATCGCCAGCCCCTACATGAGTCTATTTCTGAACTTTATAATTTGTTTTATTGGTCAGTTTGTCCTCGTAGAGCTACACAGTGTTAATTATCTGACTTCATACTACATCCTTTTATTGGATAGTGCAAGACTTTTCTCATACCTTTTTCAGAATTTTAGAACATGAAAAATCTTTATTAGGGTATTAAAATCTGTAGATCAAAGGGTGGAGAACCAAAAAATTGACATCTTTATGATACTAACTTTCTCTATGAATGTATTATCTCTCTCCTTTTATTTAGTTTTCTGTATCTTTTAATAAAATTACACATTTTTATGTAGAATATTTGTATACTTTTTTAGGACTTATTACTAAATATTTGATATTCTCCTACAGATTTTAAAATACATCTTTAATTATATTTTCTAGTGTATTGTATATAGAATGCAAAATACTTTAATAGATCTATCTTATTCCAAGATAACTAGCTAAATGCTAGTTATAACTAGCTATTAATAATAATAGAAAATTGTTACTTCTAAAATTTGTATGATGTTTGGGGGTTTCTATGAAAATAGAGTAGACCTCAAGCATATGCCTGAAACCACAGATAGTACCAAACTCTGCATACTGTGCTTTTCCCCATTCTGTACATACATAAACATACCCAGAATAAAGTTTAATTTATAGATTAATCAGAGTAAATAATTAACAGCAACAAAATAGATTATGACATAATAAATGTCATCATACTACTCAGAACAGCATACAATTTAAACCTAAGTTGTTTACTGCTAGAATTTTCCCACTTTGACAGATTATCAAAATGGTCTGTCACAATTTGAGCTTGCTACCGCAAGAAAGTCTAGCCTATTGCGGCACTCTCCTTTCCGTGAGACAGACCGTTACATAGACTGAAACAAGTTTAAAAAAAAAAAAAAAAAAGAATTTTCATACTTAGTATTTTTGGGTCACAGCTGACCATATAAACTGAACTCCAGGAAGTGAAGCTAGATGGGGGAGTGGGGCTACTGTAATGACAACACAAAAAATGTCCATTTTATTTCGTCTTTTCTGTTTCTTACGCATCCTCTCCCCAAACATATACATACTCTCTTTTGGTCTTTCTGCAATGGTGAAGTGGATATCTTGTTTCATTCTTAGTTTTAGCTTACATACATCTGACATTTCCTCATTTTACAAAGATGTTTTCTCTAGTATTTTTATATGATACTTATTTTTATCTGATTAGGACATTCCCTTTCATTCTATTTTATCGTAAACAGTTGTTGATTTTTAAGAGCTTTGTAGTATCTAAAATAACATAACTATAGTAAACAGCATAAAAATAGACTTAATTACTGTAAGACAAACAGCAGCCCTGAAACAAGCAAAATCAACCAGCCTAGAAGCCCTGCGTGTCCTTCCCTGTTACAAGCTCTTCCAACCCTGAGTAACTTTTCTCCCACCTATTTGGCACGTATCTCTTTACTTTGCTCTGGTAGTTTTATCACCCGAACATGAATAACTAAATACTCTGGCTTGACATGGCCTAATAATTTTTTTTAAGTCTTCTGGATCTCTTGAGTGACAGGCTGTCCCTCTCTTTCTTTTTTCCCCTCTTGCATCCATTTTAGTGAAGACAATAAATCACTTGTTGTCTGATGTTTCCCTTCGTAAGTCACTGATTTTTGTAATCTAATGAGATGTGCAGGGGGTCTTGCTTTTAATTTTCTAATGGAGAAAATTACTTTTATTGAGAGAAACTTTCCTAAAACAGATCAGATCATGTCACTTTACTCCAATGGTTTCTCTCAGACTGTAGGATAAACTATCCAGCTTCAACCATGACCTATATGAATCCCAGAAAAGCCCTACAAACAGTCCCACTACATCCGTCTTTCTCACTATAGAATTTCCCCTCCTCTTCCCTGTGTCTTAGTGCCAGCAATTTTCTTACAGGTTTTCAAATATGCCAGGTTATTCCCAGGTTTTGTCACTGCATGCACTGTTCTATTCCCTAGAATGTTTTCCCCCTAACCTTTACATGGCAGCTCTCTAGTATCCTGCATATCTCAGCTCAAAATTTCCATCTGCAAATAGAACTTGTGAAATAGCCCCAGGTCACTTTAAATAGCCGAAAGGACAGAAGCACAGAGCAAAGAGCACTCATCTCTGCGAGAGTATCACACCTCTGACTAGTATTTATGCTTGTCTGTCCTTTCTGTTTTACTTCATTTTACTTCTCCGACAGGCACATATTATATCTATAAATAAAACAGTAAAACTAACCTTATTATGATGAAAGGAAAAATTCTTTCTTTAAAAGAAAAACTGTTATCTAGTTTAGAGAATCTAAAGATTCTTCACATGGCCTAAGGACTCATTTATATCTGCAGAGGTAAACATCAAGTAAAAATATGCTCCTTTCTATCCTCGGTGTCACAGAGAAACTCAGCAACTAAAATTTGGCTTTATGTAGTCGCTTTATTTTGTACTGTGCAAAAAAAAAAAAAAAAAAAAAAAGAAAGAAAAGAAAAAGAAAAGCAAGCAAGAAAGAAATTATGGCTCATGATAAGGCTCTTTTAATATTATCTATTGTGGGGACAGAAGACATACACAAATGAAAAGGCAACCTCTTATTCGATAACAATTATGATCTTTTCCCTTGTGGTACATGTGTCTCACATGGCTTCATATTCTCCTCGAGCTTACTAATGCCTTAGGTAGAACTCTGGTGGTCAATGAATGCTAGCTGAATTAAACAGTTTAGTGTGTGCAATATCACAACATGATGCTTGATAAAATGCCAAATAAAGTCATTAGGAATTGTCATTTAATGGGTATAGAGTTTTGCAAGGTGAAACAGTTCTGGAGATCTGTTGTACAGGAATGTCAGTACATTTAATAGTATTGAACTGTGAGTACAAAATGGTTAAGCGGTAAATATTGTATGCTTTTTATCATAATTTTAAAATAACAAACAAGGTGGCACAGACTGGTTGGTGTAGTCCCTGAAAGATCATCGTGATAAAGGAAGTCAGGAAAGACTCAAGCTGACCTAGGAAAGCACAGCACAGCGAGGTTCCACACAGGCAAGGGGGCAACTGAGTGGGGCCCAGGAGCCAGCAGGCAGATGTGTTCGGGACGTGTGTGTCGGGAGATGGTTGTAATGAGCTGCAGAGGATTTAAAAAGATGAATCGGAGTAAGAGGCCCTGGAAGCAGGCTGGGTCTGGACCTGAGCCTAGAGGCAACGAGGAGAGACGAAGGTTTTAGATTTTGGAAATTGTGATAAAAGGGGTATTCTAAAAATACTAACAGGCATTCAAATTAGGATATAGTACACATTAATCTCAGCCCTGCTGAAAAGGACGGAAAAGGAAGCGCCCAAACGTCCTAATGTGACATTCAGATGACAGCGATTGCTGAGACAGACACAGAGTCTAGACCAAGAGGTCACCTGAAGAAGCTTTTCGGGGACTAGAGAGCCTGCCCCCACACTAAGGCGGAAGGCTGGATGCCATCACTCTTGTCTCCTAACCTTTCCCAGAGAGACACAGACCCACAAAACCGCCTTTCTCTTCCCGGCTCTGTAATTAGGTAGATGGCGGGCAGCAATGACTTCTTGCCTAAAATGAGAAGCAGAGACAAGCTGCATTTCAGAAGTAGGGCTCTCACACACGCAGACGGGTCACTCAGCCACAGCTGCATGGGTCTGGGAAGTACTCAGGCTCTTGCTACTAAAAGGGAGCACTCAGAGCGCTCACCCTAGCACTGCCCTTGAGTCAGATGAGCAGGCTCCCCATTATTTCCATCTCCAGCCAGCTGACTTATCTTTCCGGACATCAAAGATAAGAGCAAGACACAAACAACAGTCCCCTGCAAATAACCCGTGGCTCTGCTGGAGCTGTCCTAGCATAAGTATTAGGGGTATGCCAACTGTTTGCTGCGAAGAAAGGAAAACAAACATCAGAATTCATTTTATTTGCAAGTCACTGCATAGGTATAAAAAATCAAGAAATGGAAAGGCAAAAAGACTTTTAAAAGCCGTGTTTACATTTAGTCCATGTTGACAAATATAAATGGCTCATATCGTACTTGATCTCTTTGGGCTTCTGCTAAACCTGATGTTTTTAAATGAGTACCCTATTATGAACACTTTTTGATGTCAATTAACAAACATCTACCAAAATGGTGTGCTGTGGCTGCATGGTATCCCACAGTGTCAGGAATATAGGAGAGCAAGTCCACCTGACTGATACCCCATCGTTGGCTGTTTAAATTGTTCCCAGTATTTGGCATGATGAACATCTAGGAGCCAAACAGCTACATCTCCTTCATCTTTACATTGTTGCTGTTGGCAAATGTGCAATCAACTCCTACCCCAAAGGAGGAGACCTGTAACATGTGTCATCAGGAAAGCTTCTGGAACGGGGCTCAAACGCCAGTGCTTCCAGGAAGGTTTTTCCAGAGCAGATCAACTAGAGTGCTTTCTCAAACCCAACTAGTTTGATGGTCTGCTTAGCCACTGTGCACTTTCTCTGGCATTTAATCCTGCCTGGCCTGGTCTGTCATAGGTATTCCCCTTGATGATAGATAATACATATGTTCCTTTTCCCATCTCAAGGTACTACTCCTGTCTGACTCTGTGCTCTTACTATGGCCTCATCTCCTTGGCTATAAGCCATTAAAGTTTAGACTAATACTCAGCAGCAGGAATAAATGGGCTAATCTTATGAAGACCATCTGATACATGTCCACCAACACACTCTAAGGATTAACAGTAATCTGTCACCATCCCTAAATAGCATTTTAGTGAAAGGGGAACAAAGTAGAACAAAGGTCAGTAAAACAGACCTGCCCTTAATGGTTACAGAGGATCCCACTGTCTAATCCTAGGCTGAGGGCAGATATGGCAGAGCTGCCTCTTCCATATGGGGAGAAACCTGCCGAAGTGCAGAAATAGATGGAAACAGCCCTCAGAGCAAGGGCTCAGTAATTAGCAAAGATACTCTCAGCAGGCCCCGGGATGCTAAGGTAAGTGAGCAGGTAAATACTGCAGATTAAGGCAGAACTTCCACGGCTGCCCATACGTTGTACCTATCCTCTAAATGGAGCCTGGCTCTGAGGAAGTACCACGGACCAGAGTTCCTCTTGGAGAGAGGTCAAAGTTAATCCTTTTTGCTGGGCTCAGTTGTCCTTCCATGTAAACCAGGAACTTCTGTTAAACACTTCCTCTCCTAGACCTGTGGGAAAGGAAGCACGGGTCCTCTTTGAACACAGTTCTTACCTTGCAGGAAGTTTCCATTTACGACAACAAGAAACATGAGTGCCCTATTATCAGGCGTGGTAAGTAGGACTGAGGGGCTGAGGAGGGGAGTCAAAAGTCAAGAAACTTGGGTTGGAAATCAGGAAGCCTAAGCCTAGTTTTCTCTGTAACCAGTGAAGAATGATATAGCCTTGAGTTTGTGGTTTCTACCTTAGAAAAATGAAAGACAAACTCAATAAACTGCCCACAGAAGAGCTGCCCGGTCCAAGCTTAGTTCTGGTAACCCCCAGAGAACTACACAAATCCCTATCTTGTGGTCAACACTTGTATATCTCGACTGAACCTGAAGCCAAGCAAGCCCCAAAGGGCCACTCATCTGATTACCTTATATATTCAGGAACCTGTATCTGGGTCAACAAACCCAGTTTGGAGAGCCACCTAGCATCTGCTTTGTCTCCCAAGTGAATCCTGATCTGGCCAAGGGACCCAAGATAACCTGCCTCACTCTTTCTGTTCTCCTCATCCTCTTTAATTCTCTGAGTCTGGTCCTTAGTGCTGATGCAGCAAGAAGTGCAGGACTCAGCATCACCTGAGGGACACTTTCAATTCCCAAGAGGCCCAGCCCTTGATCCTGGCAAAGCGAAGTGGAGATTT